CAATGGCAAAGAACAAGGCACTGGGAATTGATAGAATACAAATGGAAATGTTTCAACAAATTGATGCAGCACTGGCACTTACTCATCTATGTCAAGATATCTGGAAGACCGCTACCTGGCCAACTGACTGGAAGAGATCCATATTTGTACCCATTCAAGAGATATGACCCAACAGAATGAGGAAAATATTGAATAATACCAAGGATATAACATGCAAATAAAATCTGGCTAAAGATAATTTAAAAAGGGCTGCACCAGTACATTAACAGGGAACTACCATAGGTACGGAGTCCTGGTGTGGCGCTGTGGGTTAATGCATCAGACTGCAAAGTTGTTTGAATTGCAAGGTCGGTAGTTCAAGCTCACCAACTGCTCCTTAGGTACCCTATACAGGGTCGCTATGGGTCAGAATCAACTCAACGGCACTTAACAACAACTATAAGTACAAGCCGGATTCAGACAAGGACGTGGAATGAGGGATATCATTGTTGAGGTCAGGTCAATCTTGGCTGAAAGAAGAGAATATCAGAAAGATGTTAACCTGTGCTTCACTGACTAAGCAAAGGCTTTCAACTGTGTAGATCATGACAAACTATGGACAACATTGCAAAGAATGAGTATTCCAGAACACTTAATTGTGCTCATAAGGAACCTATAAATAGATCAAGAGGCAGTTGTTCCAACAGAACAAAGGAACACCGAATGGTGTTGTATTCTTTCATCATACTTGATTGGAAGAGAACTCAATAACTACCTGCAATATGCAGCTGATGCAACCTTGCTTGCAGAAAGCCAAGAGGACTTAAAATACTTCCTAATGAAGATCAAATGCCAGTCTTTGGTATGAGTTGAACTTCAATGTAAGAAAACAAAAATCCTCACCACTGGACCAGTAAATGAAGAAAAGACTGAAATTGTTAAAGACTTCATCTTATTTGGATTCACAATTAACACTCATGGAAGCAGCAGTCCAAAAATAAAAACAATGTATTACAGTAGGCAAATCTACTGCACAAGACCTCTATAAAGTGTTCAAGAGTAAACATGGCAATTTGAGGACTAAGGTGCACCTGACTCAAGCCATGGTACTCTCAATAGCCATATATGCATGTGTAAGTTAGACAATGAATAAGGAAAGCTACAGACGAATTGATACATTTGAGTTATGGTGTTGGAAAAGAATGTTAAAAAATACCAGGGACTGTCAGATGAACAAACAAATCTGCACTGGAAGAAGTACAGTTAGAATGCTCATTAGAAGCCAGGATGTTGGGCTTTCATACTTTGGACATAGTATCAGGAGGGTCCAGTCCCTGGAGAAGGACATAATGCTTGGATCAGAGAAAAAGAAGACCCCCAACAAGATGAATTGGCCTAGTGGCATTTGAAGTAATGGGCTGAAGCATAACAACGAATGCGAGGTTGAGTCAAGACCAGGCAGTGTTTCGTTCTGTTGTGCATAAGGTTGCTAAGAGTTGGAATCGACTCAACGCCACATAACAACCACATAAAAAACGAGATCATTGTTATGCAATGCGTAAGACTCCAGAGGAGATGCAGGGCAAAGGAGAAGAAAGGGATCCTTGAAGAGCACAGAGCAGATATATTCTAGAACTGGGCTCCCCTGCATGCATTCAATTGCTCTTAATCATTATTTAAATTTAGATTACTTATAATATTATATAATATTTATAATTTACTTGCTTATTCATACTATTGATCAACAGCCACATTGGATATTGGTAATTGTACAACATAGTGCAGCTTATCCACCTAAAATCAACATATAAAACAATCTACTCAAAATCCTATTTTCACAGCTTAGGTTTATTTTTAGATGTCATTACTGGTACGTTTTTAAGACTAGCCAAAAATTTACCATTATCAAATGTTCATATATGTTGAAATTCTGAAAAGATGCTACTTTGTTAACATTTAAACAATATATGAAATAAAACTTTTCTGAACTATGCTATATGATGTAAACATTTCTACCAATATTGTTTTAAAACAACAGCAGTTAATCAAATTTTTAAACAATAAAACATGGTAATATGCTGACAGCACTGCTAATAAAGTCAACCTTATGTGCAAAACAAATTGCTTTCTTTCCCAGACGAAACGCAATTATAAGAGCTATTCCCTGTGGAGTACAATAATTAAATATTTTAACATTTTAATTAAATTATTACAGAGATCTTAGGAGTCTTTTGAGTAACCATATGCACAAAAATAGATACACCAACATTCTTCTAAATGTTATCAATATATATTGAGGGTAGTTCTAGAACCTTTTGTATTAATATTGATAAGATTTATAATCACTTAATCATATTCTTCAAAGAGTGTAACAAAATCATATAGTAATTTTAGTTTCAATTCTTATTTTAAAGGTTAACTTACTAATTTATTTTCTTCCAACAAAAACACATGAAGTGAAATTTGAGTACAAATAGATAACTCTATTATTAATAAACCAATAAACTTCAAAAAAGAAAAGTCTTCTAAATTTCGGGGGGGGGGGGGGGGTTACCACAAAAATTTCTCAAAATTCTATAGCAGGGCATTTCACGAATGAATCCATATTCTAGTCTAGAACAAAAGGTCAGCAATTTGTTTTTTCTGTAAAGGGCTTTATATCCCCTGTAGTCTCTGCTACAGCTGCTCAACTCTGTTGCTATAATGTGAAGGTAACAAGAGAATGCAAAACCAACTAAGTGTGGATCTGTCCCAATAAACCTTTCTTTTACAAACTGCTGGGCCCTGGCCATAGCTTGTCAGTCAATGTATCAAACTTATTTAAAACCTTAAAACAAAGGATTTATACCTAATAGTAACTTTTCTCAGTCAAAAAGACTCTTAAATAGAAGTAGTAAAAACTAAAAAGCTTATTGGAGCTGATTCACTCAATTCAGCAGTTGTGCTGCGTCTGCCACATTAAATGTAGTATGTGAAAAACACCACCCAAGGCCTTCATCCAAAAATATAGATGAAAAGGGAACACTGTACGAAAGCAAAGCAACTAGGAAAAATAAAAAAAAATCTATTTACCTTTGTGTTTTCCTTGGCATTAGTGTTCTACTATAGGTGCTTCAAAAAGGTCATGGAAAGATAAATTTGTCACAAACTTTTGAAGCCCCCTTCTACTTTGAGTAGTACAGTATTCTGAATGTAAGATGAAACCCTATGGGGCTCAGGCCATCATACTTTATGCATCATGGGCTACCCAACACTTCAGAGTGCCAGACACACAAAACATGCTGAACATTTTGTTGAATAAATGGATGAATGAAACAAATCACATAGATTGTTCTACAATTAATTAGAAGAAAAAAAATACATGCTGTGATCTTCATAATTTCTATCAGAAAAAAAAATGCTTTAGTGTATAAAGGAAATGGGCCTGCTAATTCATGAAAGAGCAAATTTATTATAAACCACACTTCAGTTACTAGGCAACTACTTGGAAATTCTATGTAAAGTGTGGTGGTTCAGGGGCAGCTCCTCCTTTTAAGTCCTGTCCAAAACGCCAATTCATTTCACTGGAGTAAGCAGCATATAACACTTAGTCCAGTGAACTGAACTGGCGTTTTGGACAGGACACATCATGATACGACTCCTAATCTTGGAGTTATTTAAAAATTTTAGAAAATCTATTATTTTCAAAGTTTATATTGGATGTATTAAACACTGAGACACTGCTTCAATTCACTATGTTAACTGTCTTAAACATTTTTAAAACAAAAATATATTTTAAAAATTCTTAATAAAAAATTCAAAAGTAGTAACATACTGTTTGACTTTCAGGAAACTCCATTTTCAGCAGTTTGTGAGCACATTCTTCAAAATCTAAACTGTGGAGAAAAATGGCCAAAATAGTTAAAGCAATAGCCTGCTGCATAAACTAAAGCATTCTTTCATACACAAAAAATCCTACTTTAACAAATCTAGTCATGTTTTTACTACAATTTCATATTATTGTATCTTGAGTATATCAAAAAGCAAAGTTCTTAACTCTACAAGAACGCACACAATGAAAATACAACTGAAAGTTTACTGAGGCAAGTTAGAATAGTGTAGAAACTTCCTTAACTTCCCTTGAAGCAACATGGCAAATTAATCAGCACTATGTGCTGGACTGAAAGGTCAGCTGGAACCACAAGGTCGGTGGTTCAAGCTCACCAGTTGCTCTAAAAAAACCCTAAACAGAGTAACCGACGCTGGGATCTGGTGGTGGGGACGGCACGTGCAGAGCTGCTGTCCACAGCCGGAAGAATCTGAGGCCCCGGCGGCAAGGCCACCTCCAGTCCGGCCATCGTACCCTCGATGCCGTTGGAGCAGTGCGAAGCAGAGTGGTGGCTGGGTCCGAACCGTGGGAAGGGTAGGGTCGATGGGCCGGCTTGCCAGTGGCGGTAGATATGGCGGTGATGTATGCCTTAGAGGAAGAGAGCTTCGCCTTGTCCATCTCTTCTGCTTCTGAAGCAGAATTTGATGCTGTGGTTGGACATTTAGAGGACATTATCATGGATGGTGAGTTCCAGTCACTACAGAGAAATTTCATGGACAAGTACTACCAGGAGTTTGAAGATACAGAAGAAAATAAACTCACCTATACACCTATTTTTATCAAATATATTTCTTTGGTAGAAAAGTACATCAAAGAACAGCTGCTGGAATGGATTCCTCGATTTAACATGGCGGCTTTCACAACATTGCACACCATAAAGATGAAGTGGCTGGTGACATATTTGACATGCTGCTCACCTTTACGGAGTTTCTGGCTTTTAAAGAAATGTTTCTGGACTACCAAGCAGAAAAAGAAGGCCGGGGACTAGACTTAAGCAGTGGTTTAGTAGTGACTTCATTGTGCAAATCATATTCCACGCCAGCTTTCCAGAACAACCTGCGGCACGAGCTCCCCCCTCCAGACTGGGACCGCTGTGGACATCAACAGCCCAATAGACTGGGAGAACCTAATGTTGATAGGTGAATACATCTTGGAAAGTCTGACTTGGTTGCTTTCTTCTGCTGCTCTTCATTCGTGTTAAGTATTGATGGCTCTGAAAAGAACACTACCAGACGCCCCTAGGACCTTTCTCCTGAAACTCTCTGTATTCAGTGATCCTAAAACATCTCCCAGAGTAGACACCTCTGAAACAGGCCCACACCCAGCATCCCACCCAGGCTCCCTTTCCACAGCATCCATCACATCCCCTCTTTATCCCAGCAAGCTCTGCAGGCAGCTCCATACTCCCAGCTCTCACTTGGGTCAGTTTTCAGCCATTCAACCTCAGTGGCCCAGCTGTAAGGTCGTGTTTACAAAAAAGGGTGATATTCAAAGCAGCTGGCCATCTTGAGATTCCTGAAGTTGTCAACAAGGATTCAACTGCGAGCGGCCCTCGGACTGACAGCTGCCTGTGAGAATCACCTCCCTCCTCCCTGTCTTGTGTTTGCAGTCCCTTCAGCGCTGTGTCTTCTACCAGTTCTGATACAGCCCCACTATTTCTAAGCATTATTTTCGAAAACATTTTTATAGATGAAAACTCAGGCACAACTAGTGGATCTGATCTTGGAAAGTCCATGATGACCCACTTAGAGATCTAAGTATTATATGCTGCGTGCTTAGTTGTTAGTGCTGTGAAGGCAAAATCGCTGCCTGCATCATCTCTGTGTCCTGCTTTCCTGGGCACCAGGGGACAGATTACATTGTGCTGGAAGTAAACCCAGTGTAATGGGCCCTTTTTGTAGAGCATATCATATGTGTTTGTGCAGGTTTGTGTAAAGCCCTTTCTGATCACTAGGTTGTCTGCTGGGGTGGGGTCGACTTGTGGAAAAACGGACTCTACAAATCCTTTTTCCTGTCAAGGTCTCTCCTACCGAGATGGTGTTCCTGGCCTAGCCTCAGCCTGTGGAGGTCACAGACGGCCTTAATGGTTATCTCTGGCTCTGCTTTCGCCAATGCTTGCTGTCATATTAGTGACCAGAAAACATGTACATCACATCTCTAAAGAGAAAAAACACACAGTACTTTAACACCCGCTGTGTACCTTTGATTTTGGTTTTCAATGAATAAAAATAGAATTCTGTTTTGACTTCTCAAAAACAAAAAAAAAAAACAACCCTAAACGGGTCACTATGGGTTGGAACTGACTTAACAGCACTTAGCAACAACAACAACAACAACAATCCACTTACTTGCACCATGTGATATATAAGTGAACTCTTTTGGCTAAGAGGCTACCTCCTACTAAGTTGCATATACTGGCAGTTCTTGTTATAATTGAGTATTTAACTAAATATTAATCTAGAAAACAAGTACCGTTTCTTGGAAAGATAAAATATGAATCTCTACATTAACGATGTTGTTTCGATCCATAGTGACCCTGTATAGGGTTTCCGAGGAACAGCTGGTGAGACTGAACTACCAATCGTGTGGTTTAAAGTGACTGCAGTCCAGAGCATTAACCCACAACGCCACACCAGAACTCCACAGATGAATGCTATATGTGAACAAGTCACTTTTACAAAACTGTAGGGGAAATGTAAAACTGGAGAAGAATTCCGAATTCCGAAAACTTGGCAAGTGACTTTATTACCTAATTTCACTTTAAAAAAAATTAGCGGTGAAAATCTTAGATGATTGGTTATGGTTTATAAAAGAAAGATGACATAAAACTTCTAACAATTGATTAACACTCAAAGAAAGGGCATAGACTAGATATCAAGACTGGTGAATGAATGAATGAATGAATAAATGAATAAGGAGTCCTGGTGTGGCACTGTGGGTTAATGTGCCAGACTGCAAAGTCAGTTTGAACTGCAAGGTCGGTGGTTCAAGCTCACCAGCTGCTCCTTGGAAACCCTACACAGGGTTGCTATGGGTCGGAAATGACTCGATGGCACTTAAAAACAACAAAAACTGGATGCTTACCATATATCATATACAAAAGTCAACTGAAAATGTAACAGAGAAAATTATAAAATTCTAAGGAAAAAAGAGAAAAAAAAAAGTCTTATAAGAAAACAGTGATGCTACATTAGGAAGAAAAATTAAAAAAAAATAACTACATTTAAAACTTAGATAAAACAATAGGTAGGATGCGTTAACAATGAAGGGAAGAAAAAGCTTTAAAAATGTTCAATTTTTTTCTGTAAATATTGATATTCAGCTAAATTTTTAAAGAAATTGTATATTTATTCATCAGTCACAAATGTATATTTAACTCAGCGACAATAACTGGACAAAACACCTACAGAACATCATCCCAATGAGGAAAACTACACTCAAAGGCATTTGTGTGACATAGTCTCAGATGTAGAAACTGAATAAATGAATACTTAAGACTTCCTCAACTCAACATTTCATTAAGAAAAGGCTGTAAGTAACATTTACTTCGGGCAGTGGCTTCTTAAAATACATTACATATTTAGAGAAACTAGGAAAAGTCCCAATTGATTAGGCACCAAGCCTAGGCCAAGTTTTGCAGCTTCACATTAAAATCTCATCTTCAAAGAGCAAATGAGGAACCGACTCAACAGCACTTAACAACAACAACAATCATACTATAGGAGTCCTGGTGTGGCACTGTGGGTTAATGTACCAGACTGCAGAGCCATGTGAACTACAAGGTCAGTGGTTCAAGCTCACCATCTGCTCCTTGGAAACCCTATGCAGAGTCGCTATAGGTCAGAATCGACTCGATGGAACTTACCAACCAACAACCATACTAGAAACTAAAGGTAAAGAGAAAAGCTAAGAAATACCAAAGCACTTCCAAGCAATGCTATGCTGTTTAACAGTCCTCTACTTGAAGATGAATCTAAAGCCAAAAAATATTCAGACAGAATGAAAACAAGATGACTTTTACTTATGAATCATCACTGCTATTACATCATACTAAATGGAAATATACAAAACCTAGTAACAAAACAAAACTGAGAAAATACTTCTCATGCAGTATAAAATGTAAACACTGTACCTACTAACTCAATGGGCTGATTCTTAGCCAAAACAACAGATGCATTAAGCATTTGACATTCTCATTTATTTCTCTTTAAAACCAAATTCACAGACTTCAAAGGGAACAGGTTTTAGTTTCATGACATTGTAGTAGTTAATATAACTACTTCAAAGATTCCTCAAAACCTTTCTTTAAGTTTAATTCCTAATTTTATTTACACTCTGCATAGCAAATTAATGAGCAACATGTATTAAAATAGTATTTCTCGGCTTAGAACCAAAATTAGGAAAAATATTACACAAATAATATTAGATTAGCTCTATCATAAAATATAAGAAATCATAGAGCAAAATATATTTAATTTTGTAATCTTTTAAGTAAGTAATCAAATACATGTCCTATTTTTATTGTTGTAAGGTGCCATCGACTCGGTACCAACTCACAGCAACTCTATGCACAACAGAACGAAACACTGCCCGATCCTGGGCCAACCTCACAATCGCTGCTACCTTTGAGCCCATTGATGCCCATCCATCTCATTGCGATTCTTCCTCTTCAACCCTCGACTTTACCAAACATGATATCCTTCTCCAGGGGTGGGTCCCTTCTGACAATATGTCTGAAGTATAAGAAATGAACTACGGCCACCCTGGCTTCCATGGAGCATTCTGACTGTACTTCATCTAAATCAAATTTGTTTTTGGCAGTCCATGGTACTTTTAATGTTCTCCTCCAGCACCACAAATCAAATGCATCAATTCTTCTATGGCCGTTCTTATTCACTGTCCAATTTTCACATGCATATGAAGCTAATGAAAATGCCATGGCTTGGATCAGGCGCACCTTTGTCCTCAAACTGACATCTTTACTCTTCAACACTTTAAAGACGTTTTCTGCAGCAGATTTGCCTACAGCAACACATTGTTTGATTTCTTGACAGCTGCTTCCATGAGTGCTGATGGTCGATACAAGCAAAATGAAGTCTTTACTGACTTCCATCTTTTCTCCACTTATACGGATGCTTCTTTATTGGTCCAGAG